ATCACTCACACCACTTTCATACTTGGCAATGCGGGTGAAGTGTCTTGCCTAAGGATACAACATTTTTATGACTGGTGCCCCCTTGTGGCTTCTGATTTTCCCAGTGTCTCCCATCCACATACTGACCAGACCCAGCCCTGCTGAGCTTCTGAGATCTGATAGGATCAAGCTTTGAGAAACCGGTATGGCCACAATCTGTGCTTACACCTTTGCCCCCACAACCGATCCACAGACATGTCACCGCTGTCTCTAAAGCAGCGTGACCAGATTTTCAAAATAAAAAAACTAGGACATCCCTGGTTTGTGGTGGTTGGTAAAAATAAAATTACGAAAAAAATTATGAGTATGTAATTAAGGAAAACTGTTCTGCACTCGGCACTACTGTGAGTCAGTATAGTCACATTTTCTTTGTGTTTTGGTCATTTTAAAGCAGCTTTTCTGTATTTTACCTAAACACGTGACAGTTTATACCTCTCTTTACTGTTGGCAGGGGTCAGATTGGTCAAAAATAGGACACCTGGGACATTTCTTGTATAAAACAAATGGGACAAATTAGTGGTTTAGGATAAATCCGCTGGGACAGGGGACACAGGACTCAAACAGGGACGTCTGGACACCCTAATGTTAAGTGTATTATAATTTCACATAACCCGATTAATCAATGCTTTAATTAGAAAATGCTTATATCACATATCATGCACAGCTGTTTCCCAGAACAGTTACAGCACATGTGGCTCGGGTCCATCACTGAATGTCCTTTAGCCTTTTATTCCATTAGCATGTTAGCATTTTAGCATGTTAGCTTGTTTGACAGCAGTGAACACAGGTGCTTTTATCAGCTAATATCCGGATTACAGCATGTTTCATCCACACAGCTCCAAACGGCAGCAGAGAGAGAGAGAGTGGGTCCCGTGGGATTTTCTGTTTAATCTGGCCCAGAATTGAAGGGCCCCTCCCGTCCCCACATCTGCACCATCAGGATTATCACATGTAATCCTCCATTTGTGAACAATTTTATTATGCTTTTAGCGCTGATGTGCGGGAGTTTAATTAATAAATGCAGCGTTCTGGAGTAATTACACATGTTGTATTAGCCAGACAGCTGTGTCCAGTGACCGCTGCTCCACTTACACTCCACTGGACTGTACAGTAAATAGAGGAAACAGACATTCATCATTTATATCGAGCTAAAAGAAGTTTGCATCAAAGAGCCATTCATCTATTATTCACACGGCAGGAGAGCAGTGCTGGAAGAAGGACTCAAGTTTGTTACCTACTTAAATAAAAGTACAGATAAGATCAGCTCAAGATCTGGAGATTGGGTCCCCATCAAAAGTACTGAAAATCAGAATTGATACTTAAATCAAATATCAAAACTAGATACTTATTAGGTATCGATGCTGCAAAAAAATCATATTAGCAGGACAAATTTGAGTTTTCTTGAAGAGTTTTAGTACATTTGAGATTTATCAAAACAAATATAAGATCACATGGTAATATAAAGAAAGCACAATTCTTTTACATATGGAAATTAAATTCTATTTTGCATTTTGTATCATCAAAATATCATAATGAGTCAATTCCTTATTGAAATCAAGTTTTAGTTTTATTATTGCGACAACACCAAGTACCTTAAAGGTGCTATATTATGCAAAATGGACTCTTGAGAGCTTTAAATCATGTTATAGAACAGGGGTGGGCAATTATTTTTCCAAGGAGCTACATGAGAAACAGAAAATATTTTGGAGGGCCGGGCCAAAATGCTTAACTCAATTCTGCATAATATTAATTGTATTTCTTTATAAAAAGTTGTAAATATCATTGTTTTGATGAGCTGGTCAGACTGTTAAGAGTTTATGTTCTGACTAAGCAATGAAAAAGTGAGGTTGCCTTACAAAAATGTCATTTAAAAAGACACATCCAAAATAAAAGCAATGCAGCTTTAGTCCATGCATGTGGTAAAATTATAAAATATGTTTATTTTGTAATTCCAAATGATCCAAACAGTCAGCCTAAGTAGTGGCCCAGGAACTGTACAATGCCCAAGTCTGATATAGATGGATTATTTGTTTATGAACACAACGGATGTGGGCTCAGGAAGCCGCTGTCTGTGCGATTAACATGAAGTTGCAACATTAGCTAATGCTGTTGTCAGCACTAAAACAGTTTATCACAATGCGATAAAATACGTTCTGATGCTAAATGAACATTAGTGAGTGGGATTCGTCTTAATGACCTGTATGCATTAAATGCAGGTGAGTGCATAAATGACGAGATGAAACGTCTCAAACTTCAGTAGCTGGACATCCACTCATACATGATCAATACACCTATCCCCGCCCCCGAGAGTCTGAAATCTGCTAAAATCCTACAAGACACTGACATGATACAGACAGACTTTCTGCAGGAGACATCCCTAAACTGAAGAGTGGCTACAGCAGATGCCTGGAAAAACAACGGACATCTCACTCCTGAAAAGTGCAGTGCAGGAACAGCAAAGATACTGCGCAGAACTCTCAGGCTCCCAGGCCTCTGGTAGAGGACTCGAGCTGGAATGAGGGTGAGAGAGACCAACCACCGTGGAAGGTTAGAAATACATTTTTATAAAGATATAACCTTACAAACATACCTGGAGTTGTACTTTGTTCCATTCATAGACTGTATAAAAGAAGTGGATTAAGCAAATACGACGTCACCCATAGTGTTCAGCGCCGCTCAAATGAGACTCGCGATGCTCACAGTTACAGGAGTGAATCTGGAGCCAGGTTCTGTGTTATGAATAGGATTTTTTGTTGGACAAAATAGCGGAAAAAAATTTTGGATCATGTGTCGCGGGTTAATACGAACATTTTAAGACCAAAATGATGAGCCTGAGTCAGAAGGAGCCGGAAGAGCCTCCTGGTGAACTTCCTATTTGGCACACGGTGGCGAGAGTGTTAGCTATGTCCACTCATATATACAGTACAGTATATGTACAGTATATGTACAGTACATGTTTTCAAGTTAACAGTTCCTTTTACATTTTGTTCTGTGGAGATTGGAAATTCCAGGTCTGAAATTATCCAGATGATTCTAGTAAAAGTACAGTATATGGAGTTAGTTTAAAAACACAGTGGAGCACTTCCTGTATTACTGACATCACAAGGTGGAACAGTGTTTTCTGTTTGAGAGAAGAACTCAGCCTAAATATACAGGATTTGTGCGTTAAACATTTGTGAATGAAACGAAACACAAGTCCAGGTCAGTTTGTGATGAGGAGACAACATTATAATGCGACAATGTGACACAGTATCTGAAATTGGGGCTATATTTAATCTACTATATATTTATGGTATACATTAGTGTTTTTATCTCTGTTCTTGCCTGTAAAAAGTCCTGCTCTTAAATCCTACTTTATAACATCAGCATCCAGCTAACCACCCAGCTAACACCAGGCGCTGCAGCAGATGTCAAAAACCATGCTGTAAAAATGTCAGATTAACACAAAGGGACACTTTAGTAAATCCTGATTATGGGAGCACTTTCATTTATTAAAGTCTGTCATCCCTGTTCTCTTTTGGAGTGGGATTAAAATCAGGTAGACACCATTGTCATCTAAACAATCCCTCGTTAAGCCTGTGCTCTGTATAATCTGACTATGGGGATTATGGGTCACTAGCAGCACTACAGCCCCATTCACTAACACGGCCTGTGTACAGGAGCGAGCTGATTGGATTTGGGACATGTTTTACAGGGCACAATAAAGACGACAGGGAACTAAAGCGTGTTTACAAGAGACGCTGTGAAAAGGCCACGGCGAGCAGAGACATACGGAGAGATCACCAGTCGACAGATGCCAGCGCTCACAGCTGGGTGGGTTTTACTCTGGGCACTCCGGTTTCCCCCATCAACCCAAAACATGCAGCACAGGTCAAATCCTCCAGCCTGACCAAGATCAGCGCAAGATCTGGAGACATCTGTCTGTTATATTTAATAAATCAACATGCTGCTTCTGACAGGTTGCCCCAGCAGCACCTGTTGAAGGACGGGACAAACGCAGAGAATCAACAAGGGATCAATAGTGCACTCACAGTCATACTAACCCATGAGTCTTTTGTTAGTTACTTGTAAAGACTGAAAGTGCGACAAAGCCTGTACACTTACTCCCAAACTGCTTTTAATGAATGGCAACTGTTTTGATCAGTGGAGCTTCGTCAGTGTGCAGGCTTTGTCGCACTTTCTATGGTCACTGTAGTAGCCGTGCACCAGTGATGTGTCTGTACCTGTACCTTTTATACTTGTAAAGATTGAACCTTTGGGTTGGTGGATAAAGAGCATTTTACTATCTAAGAGAAAGTAGCCTGGCCGACTCTCAGTTGGATGTCAGATTTGATCAAAATTAACAACTCAGACACCAGAAGATGACATAAGACTTGGCCTTACACTACAGCAGACGTGGGCATTGTCCAGCTCCTGCGCCACATACAGCCCTTTGTTTGACTCTGATTGGCCCGTTTAAGCTTATTTAGAATCACAAAATTAACATATTTTATAATTTTATCTCATGCATAGATTAAAGCTGCATTGCTTTTATTTTAGAAGGTTTTTTTTAAAATGACATTTTTTGTAAGGCAAACTCAGTTTTTCATTGTTTAGTCATAACATAAACTCTTACCAGTCTTACCAGCTTCCCAAAACAATGTTATTTACTGCTTTTTATAAAGAAATACAATTAATATTATGCAGAACTTAGTTAAGCATTTTGGCTTGGCCCTCCACAATATTTTCTGTTTCTCACCAGGCTTCAGATGAGCATGTGCCAAAGAGGGACAGAGTTGTCATAAGAGGGCTGCTTTATTACATGTCAAATACAAAACAAATGTGAACACTAAACAGATACGATAATTAAATCTTCATTTACCAGTACATGGTTTTAGAAACATGCAGTTTCTCATGGGTAATTTCTCTTTTCAAACCAATCCAGGCTGATATTAAAGCCACAGAATGTATCTTTCTTTTTGTTTTGTTGCACTAAAAAACATGCGTCTTCTTGTCTGCGAGTGGGCTTCTATTTCCACAAACCTGACCTTGGTTTGGCCTGGAGCTGGGCCTCCTCGTACTTGTTTTCCATTTAAATGTTCACATGGCTATAATATTCCCCATAGTAAAGCATAAAACTAATTGATCTCCTTGAATGTTCATAAGTATAGTTTTAACTTTCTGCTCCCACGGAATCATACAGGTCCCATACCACCCCCAGAAAGTTACATACTGTACCTTTAATTGTTAATGTATTTTAATGTATAAGTGTATTTTCGCTCTTCTATACTTAATGAAGTCAAAACATTTATAATATAACTCTTGATGCATGATATAATCGGCTTATTTAAAGAATTTGAAGAGTAAACACTTTCTTTACATTAGCATAATAGAAACAGACAGAGCTTTCTAACCTCATGAATAGCCATTGTGTTGCTCGCTACTCGCTTTAGCTACCACAGTCCAGTTCATTTACTGGTACATGGTTTTGTTGGTTAATGTTAGAAACAGGTGCAGTGTTCCCACAGGTTAGTAAGGCGACTGGAGCTCCACTGCAGTTTGAGCCTTCTCATTGTCATTGATGTGAGCGATGGATCTCAGGAGTGATGGGAAATATAATGTGTCCTCAATCCTTGGAGAAGAGAAAACCACAAAGGACGACAGAGTTTCACAAAAGCACAAGCAAATACCTACACATTCCTAGATGAGTTTGTCTATATGCCTCTGAAGCATGTTTTATTGAAATCAGGTTTGACATGTTGCATATTAAACTCTTGCTGACATATGGCCCCAATAGCAGCTGGAAAAAGGGGTAAGGTTTCATTAAATCAAAGCTTGCATCAAAGATTAAACATGCTGTTAAATGATGGATGCATAAGAATAATGATTTTATGCACACTGCTGTTTTAGTGCTGGTGATAGAGTGAAGCCAGCTGCTGTCTGTAATTCATTACACAAAGACATGACATATGCTGCAGGATGAGTGTCTAAATCCTGATAAAAGTTGTGTTGTTTTTAAATGAATAGAGCATAAGGTCCACTTCATGTAAACTGCTCACCTCAATAATTGTATCACTGTGAAAGAGGCTTAGAGTAATTACAATATTGTCTCCTCTGGACTCAGGCCTCAAACAACACAAACCAGACTTTTCTAACTCATTGTCAAATTAAATGGAGAATCTACAGTAGAAGAGAACACAGGGATTAACATCTAAATCTGACACATTTAATATTTACAATGCAATCACACAATTACTCTGACAGTGGGTTCTCTACCTAATACCTGCTGGAGAGTTGGGACCACAGAGGACGTATGTGAGCGTGTCTAGTCTGAATGAACTGAAAGACAGAGAAATAAATATTGTACGTATAAAAAGAAATAAACTATTAGAGCTGCCAAAAGTATCAACAATCAATACTAAAATTAGATACTGATTTAAAAAGGTATCAATGCTAAAAAAAAGTGACCTTCACAGGACAGAAATGAACCTTGATCTTGAGTATAGTACAGAAAAAGTGCTTTTAATTATCACTGTGGTATTGGAATCAATATCAAATCTATTCCCTAGTATCAAAATTTAGTTTAAAATGTTTGTATCATCACAACACAGCTTTTACTGTTTTTAGTTATAAATACACAATAGGAACAGTTAGTAAGTTTGACGCATTGCAAAAGTCTGATAAAGCTGTCGTCATGATGCAATCTGTTCTGCACGGTTAGGCCACAGCTATTGACTTTTGAGATAAGAGAGGAGCCACAGATCAGCACTTTTGGTTAGTATTGTTACATGTACTCTATTTTCTCTAAGTTACAGTGAGATAAATATCCTTAGCTTAGCTCAAGGGTCTCCAACCTTTTTCCTCCAATGAGCTACTTTTACAAAACCAAAATGCCAGAGAGCTACAACTTTTAACAGTCACAAGAAATAGAGTGAATAGATGAGCCACAGCCTTAGATGAGGAACAGTTGGATGCCTATAAAACATGAACTATTATCCATTTATGAGTGTATCAAATTTAGGCATCAAAATGATACATGTACAATGGTAATCAGCATTTAATGAATCAAATTTGACATATTCAGCACAATACGTGTAATTTAGAAATCCCTTAGCGAACTAAATAGAAGGGGGTAGAGAGCTACTGGTAGCTCCCGAGCTACAGTTTGGAGACTGTTGAGGAAAACAGCCTTTTCCTCTCGTGTTCGTTTCTGCTTAGATAAAAATACACTTTAAACAGAAATAAAGTCCAGATAATTTACTTAATCCAATATTAGGAAGTCATACTTGTACAAGGAGTCTGTGCTGACAATCCCATGCAGAGACTCAATGTTTTATACCTATACAGTGACCTTTATACATAAACTATAGTGGGAGGCTGCCGTGGTTTAGACTTAGTGCCTCTTCGCTGGTGCATGGGTCAGCCAGGCCTCTTGGCATATTGCACAGTCCAATCAGACTCCATCCAGGGTGTTATTTGGGTAACAAATCATGACATCATCCCTTGCAGTAGTTCTTGTCCTATTTAGTTAATTTGCAATTAGATAGATTGGAATATCCTGCATTTGTCTTGACATAAATCTTTGAGTCTCACAGCTGTGATCAGAGCCCTTATCTTCAAATGACCTCGGTACAAAAATGAACTATAGAAGTGATTATACAAAATAGCTAAGCCTAGTTATTTATGCTATAAGACCCCTGGCTTAGGTAGTATGTCTTTATACGCCAATGGGTTATACCAATAAGAATGTTGTGTATTGTATGGTTATGTACGTAGGCTGTCAAGTTAAACATAAACTAGGCTATGCAATGTATCTGAGGAGCACAACAAAATATACACATTGTCACAACCATTTTCAGTCTTTCAAATATCATAATATAGAAATCATAACAATTTATAAGCCTATAGTTGTGTTAAAGATGGTGTGTTTGTCTTCTTTGCCATTCTCCATTGAGTCTTACTACAACATTAATCACATATAAAATGTAAACGCTGTAAATGCCAGTGGATTTTTCCAGGGATAAACAGCTGAATCCAAACATAGGCCTTTAGCTGGTGGACAGTCAGGAGCGGGGCTGTACTTCTGTACTTCTGTATACACTACATCCTGTGGCCATAGGCGTCTGTCTGCTCTGGCCCGTTGTAAATTCCTGCAGACTAATTAACCAAATAAGTCCATGTTGTGGGTCCATCTCCAACAGCCTATAGGCCTATATATAAAGATGGCAATTTCTCTTTTCAAACCAATCCAGAATGATATTAAAGCCACAGTATGTAACTTTCTTTAAAAAAAAAAAAGTTTTATTGCACTGAAAAACATGCATCCTCCTATCCAATGAGGTCTTTCGATATTTTATGTCATTAAGTCCTTTTTTCAGATTAAGAGTTTCCACACGAGCACGCGAGCAACAAAACACAAAGCAGAACAGGAACAACTCAAATCGGACACTTCTGATCACTGTAAAAGAGAGAACCACATTATGGACTGGGACGGAGCAAACATCATCGTGGCAGAGGAAAACAAACACCGTCGCTGGATGAAAGAGGCAATCGAAATACAGAAACGTGTCCATGAGACTATAAACCGGGACAAGGGGGCTTATTTACTCTAACTCACCTGGGATACTGTCCTGAGGAAGTGGGACTGTAGATGGCGCTGTCGTCCTGCCTCCCTTGTGACAATCTGTAATATACAAAATCTGTATAAATCAACTGACCAGACATGTCACAGCAACATCACATGACCACTTTGAGGAAGACCACTAATAAGCAATCGAAACTGTCAGGTATGAAAAACTAACTCTTGGACTGAAAAAAAAGGAACCTAATAACATATGTCCTCCTGATTGTGAGTGGGCTTCCATCTTCACAAACCTGACTTTGATTTGGCCTGGAGCTGGGCCTCTTCGTGCTTGTTCCCTTAATAAATGTTCACATGGCTATAATATTCCATATAGTAACGCATAAAACTCATTGTTCTCCTGGAAGAATGTTCAAAAGTATAAGTTTTAACTTTCTGCTACCATGGAATCATACAGACGCCATGTTAAAGTTACATACTGTACCTTTAATTGTTAATTTATTTTAATGTGTAAATATATTTTCACTCTTCTATATTTAATGAAGTAAAAACATTTATAATATAACAACTGATGCATGATATAATCAGTTTAGTTAAAGAATTTGAAAAGTAAACACTTTCATCACATTAGCATAATAGAGCTTTCTAGCTAACCTCATGAATAGCCATTGTGTTGCTCGCTGCTCGCTTTAGCTTCCACAGTCCAGTTCTAGTTTATCTCTGTTCATTTTACGTTTTTTCTATACATTTTATCAACTTTCCACACACATCCTGTTTCTTGTTCCCAAAGATGCTGTGTCACTAAAGGGTTAAGCGCAGGAGGAGCCGTGGTCAGCCTTGCGCGCATTGGGTGGAGTGAAGTTTAGACTTTACTATGACAAATTAGCCAAGAAGAGGACTGCAACATGGCTGAGTAACACATCACCACGATAAAACCCATTCAGAAAACCCCTAAAAACAAGACAATTCCCCGCGCAAAAACACGACTTGACAAGATTTTACAATGAAGGATGTAAGTGAGGAGTCGCTACTGGATTACTTCTACACCACCGGAGGAAACTCGGGCAGGGTCAAAAATGCTGATATCCTGAAGACATTTAAACCTTTTATCGGCCACAGTGACTTGCAATTACGAGGTGAGTATCCGCTTTTTCCCTCTGTGTCGTTAAATGTGACGAAAATCACGCGTAATACCAATTTTATGACATATTACGCACGCCATCCATCGTTGTCTTATTCAAATTAGCCTGACCGCGTCCTATCTGTTGATATGTGTGAGTGAGACAACGTGTGCCAGCATAAAATATGATACAACTAAGTGTGTTCTTGCTATAGCAGAATTGCCTTTTTGTCAGGCTTTTCAGTGGGAAAATAGACATCTGTTTTGTGTTAAATGTCCCCCACAAATCTGCAGTTTTAGCAGGAATTGTGTCATTTCCTTGCCCCCTCCTCAGCTCCACCACCGTCCCCAGTGACTATATGAGCTGACAGTGCAGGAGAGTGTATTGTAGGACTGTATCTCTGCCCATGCTGTCCTCAACCTTCCTGCAGAAGACATTGATTTCACTGTGTGTCTTACATCCAGGCTGAGTCCTTTGCTCTTCTCTCCTCCTCCCACTAAAATGCTTATGTAATCCTCTCCTGAATCAATACTGGCTATTTTTGCCTGATTTTTTTATTTTTTTTTGCAGTGGATGGAAAAACTATCCAGATAAGATGATTTCACAATTTTGACCACCGTAATTAACAATCATTAATCATATATAGGGTGATCAAACTTTTAAAAAACAGGAACACCCCCGGGTCTGTCGTGTTTAGCAATAATAAAATTGTGAAACAAGTGTGTAATTAAAGAAAATTGTTATGCACTTTTCCCATTCATGACTTATTCACAATAACATCTGAGTCAGTACAGTCATATTTTCTATGTTTTTGACATAATTTTACCTAAACAAAAACCTAAAATAAAAAACCTAGACAATTTATGCCCCTCTTTACTGTTGCCAGGTATCGAATTGGTGTCCCCAAAAATAGGGACACCTGGGAAATTTCCTGTATAAAACTGGGACAAATCATTGGTTTTGGATAAATCCACTGGGACAGGGGACACAGGGCTCAAAACCGGGACTGTCCCGGGTAAACAGTCACCGTATTTACAGTTTATACCACTTGTCTTGACTCCCTCTTCTTAACATGTGGTGGTTGCTAGGTTTTTCTGTAGTCACACTTGCCCCTGGGCAATCTGACAGAAGTGTCGCTGAACACGTTCCTTCTGATGCTGAGAAGCATCTTGTCCCTGCCCTGGTTCACTCCAAATGGAGTTCTACACATTATCAGTTTGGAACGGCTCCCAATGATAGTGATTGGAAAATGAGGAGTGTCATGGCGACTATTTGAATCTGACCAGTAGGAGTGTGCAAAAAAATCAAAATATCAATATATCATATCGTTTAATGCGATGATACAGTATAAATATTGTGGGAGTATTTTTTGGTGTATTTTACTTAGTTATTTTGTTACAGTGCTAAAGTTTTGTTGCTTGTTTATTGAAAGGAAACCTCTTTATGCAACACATTTGACATTTTCACTGTTTTGATGATTTAAATGTTTGTATCTCATATTAACTTTGTGCAATAAATGGTTTAAAAACGACTTTTAGTATCACAGCCATGTGTTAGCCATAATTTTTTTTATTGAACTGGACCAAATCAATCTGAAATATATCTTTTTGAAACAAAAGTGCACAGTATTGAGATATGTATTGCATTGTGGCCTATGTATCGAGGTATATATCGTATCGGCAACTTCGTACTGATACCCAGCCTTACTGACCTTTGGAAGCCTCACAACAGCGAAACAAGATTTAAAATCTAACTTTAGAAACATCTAGCTGAGAGAAAAGCACAGACATTTTCCCTGTCCACAAATGCACAAAGGACTTTGTTTTTCCACAAACAAAACAGTCTGTTTTGACACTAATACAGGCTGAAGTACGTCTGTCAGCATCACCATGTTTGTATGATTTCTTATTTGAAATCCATATTGCTATAACCCATTGCATGTTAATACACTGAATATTGTTATGCATTGTAGTACCCAGGTGTTAGTGTCATTTCAATTTACATTTTTATTCTCAGGAAAAGGTTTTATACACATCTAGACACCACAAGGACACCCTGACAATTTCCAATCCAAAACAAGGGTGGATGGCTCAAAATGAGTGTTTTGCTTTGAAACCAAAAAGTACTATAATTTGTCTGACCTCAGTCACTGCAAGAGGCCGTTGCCTCATTCTTGAGAGACATCAGTTTAATCTAATTGTCTTATTTACTTATCATTACTGACTAATAAACCGGTCCAACAACATAATGAATCAAATGAAATATAAGACCACAATGTTTGTTCTGCACTTTGGCCTCTGCTCTTTGCTAGAAATGTCACATGTGTTTCTATTGTGAGAGGAAAATGTGTGTGATTAGATTACTGAAGTTATCTCCCAAAATGAACTTGTAATTCTGGTTATGACAATATCAGTTCTACGACAGCATTGTAACAAGGAACACTTTGTACAAGTTGGGTTCATATGACATCACAATAGAGTGAAAACTGAGCTGGAGAACAGGGCAGAATTCTGTGGTAGAATTTGCTGTGTAACTGTGAATGCAGATTTGTTGACCTGGTTTATGGTTCATACCTCTATAATTACTGGGCCTATCCGCATGAAACAAAAGCTGGCACAACATTCAACATGTTCTCTCTTACTATAAATATGTGGCCATACCAGCTTCTGTCTGGTCTCCGCAGATCTCAGAAGGTAAACAGAGTCTGATTAGTACTTGGATGGGAGACCAATGGGAATTCCAGGTGCCAGTGTGGGGTACCAGTCTCAAAATATTGTTGTTGTGTCCTTAGGCAAGGCACTTCTCCCACATTACCTAGTATGAAAGTTGTGTGTGCATGAGTGGTGGTGGTTGGAGGGGCGGATGGCGCAGATTGGCAGACTCTTTTCCGTCATGGAAGTTTTGATTGTCCAAAAAAGTGCTACATAAAGCTGATCCATTCATTATTTCCACCTATCAAAATCTAGCCAGGCTGGCACCACCTAGTGTCTCCACTCAATTTCATTTCTCTCCAGCGACTAGGTTAGAAATCAGAATACACTAGATGGTTTGCAAGAATTCCAGAAGTTGTAAACCACCCACGGGCCAATCAGCAAAGAGCTATGAAGCCATGACAGGGTCCCTTTTTCTGGAACAGCACAACAGTAAACAAAGCATTCGAGATGGATGTAGACGAGAACACAGACATTCTGTGTTGGCAACAATTCCAGAGATTGAGGCTTTAAAGTCGGAAAAAAGAGAATGTTTGGTGAATTTTATCAAGGGGAAAGACGTTATTGGCCTTCTTCCTACGGGAAGTGCATTACATACGTCAAGACCAAATAGCAACATACATACATATGAACGAATCCTAATGCTGCCAAAACCTTCCATATGAAATTATAACATTATTGAATTATAGAACATGAACACAACCTATCCCACTGTCCCAGAATCCTGTCATTCAGAGTGACCTTGAAAGTAGCATTGGGCAGATGTGTTGTCAGTTAACAGCGGTTTTAGAGCCTTGATACTGGGCCATCTGACACAGTTCTCCAATTAGAAGAGTGCTCTTCTGCGTGAGCCTGTCTGAGCATGTGCTGAGCGAGAGGCTTTGTGTCATATTTAATCATAATTAAGACCAGATGCTCACAATGAAGCTGCATCACACATAATACAAACTGGGACAGGAGGATTCAAGCAGCGACCACAAGGTATTTCAATATGGTTTAAACATTGCATGTCTTGCCTAAGGACACAACGACAGAACCTGGTCTGAGCTGGAATCGATTAGTATATCAGTTGGCTGATATATTGGACTTGCACTTTTTAGCATTAGCGGCTCGTTTATCGGCTATCAGCTCTTAATCTCCAGCAGAGGCCGATATTTAGTTTGGGCTGACCACCTGAATAAACTAAAGACGCAATGCTTTATTTGAAGTGTAAAAAAAGCACGGCACAAAATGGGACCACAGTGCTTTGTAACAGGTTTGTAGGTCATTGTCATAGGTCTGTGATTCTCAAACCTTTCACAACAAGTACTGATTTCGACACTATAGCTTTAAGTTTTTGCCAATACCCAGAATTTATTTCCTTTAAACAAAAATAAAATAAGACAAAACTGATCCAAATGTGTTATGTAACTGTTATGTATCCCTCATGTAACTCCAGAACAGCTTTGTGTAATTAAAAATTGAAATATTATGACAGTTTCTGGCTTGACTACTACCAGTATTATTACATCCATTTATCTGTCCAACCAGGATATAGACTGAACCGATATTTGGAAGATGATATTTGATCCAGCAAATTTTTCAGCATTGGCACTGATACTTGATACTTGGGGTGTGCAAAAATATCAAAATATTGATATGTCATATCGTGATACAGTACCAGTATCGGGGACTGCTGTATCGACATATGGCCAAGAGTATTTTTTGGTGTATTTTACAAAATTATTTTGTTACAGTGCTAGGTTTTGTTAGCCTGATTCATCAGTCTGACCTCGCTCGACGTTAGGCGGGTACTTTTTCATTTAACCAATCTCTGCTATTTGGTCGTGATATATGTAATGGGCTGCGAATGGGGCTAACTGGTATATTAAGCTTTTCTCAAATCCCATAGGGAGAAGGACAATAACGTCTTTCCCCTTGATAAAAGTCACTGATTACGGCTTTAAATCCTCGATCTTGGGAAACGTTACCAACAAAGAATGTATGGCTCTTCGCTGATTGGCAGGTGCCCGAACTTGCACTTCTGGGGTTTTTGCGAACTGTCTAGTGTATTCCGATTCCTGACCTAGTTACCGGAGAGAAATGAAATTGAGCGGAGGCACTAGGTGACGTCAGCCTGGCTAAGGTTTTGTTACTTGTTCAGGGAAAGAAAACTAGTTAATCCAGCACATTTGACATTTTCACTGTTCACTCGATGATTAAAATGTCTGTATTTCATATGAACTTTGTATAAAAAGTGGTTTAACAAAGACTTTTAGTATCACAGCCATGATTTAGCCTTTATTTTTTATTGAACAATATCGAATCCATTTGAAATATATCATATCGAACCGAAAGTGCACTGTATCAAGATATGTATCGTATCGGCAACTTCTGAATGACCAATCGGATACTGCTATCAAATAGGGCTGGGTCCCTATTTGATAACAGTATCCGTTTGGTTCATTCCTAATCAAAAGGAGGACACCCGTGATACATGCACCACTGATTGAGAAACTGCCATAAATTATGTTTCCTTATTATAATATTTTTATGTAGACAGTAGACTGCATAGAATGTAACTGAATGTTAGTAGTATCTGTCTAATCACTCTTAACATCTGAGTCACTGTGAACTGATTCTTAATTTTAAATTGTTATATTGATTCACAACTTTTTTTTTTTTTTTTTTACTTTTGAGTAAATTATCCCCAAACTTGCAAACTGTAAATTCACCTTTGACTGTCTAGTTTTGGGGAGTAAACAAGTGCATGTTTGACAGTGTAGCTAATAAATAACTCACATGTGTACAGATCTCACCGTAGACTGAAGGAATGCTTTTGTCAGCGCATATGTGAGTCCTGCTTCCTCTGTGTTTCCTGTGGGTTTGTCACAAAAACAGGAAGCCGTCAATTGTCCAGCGCGTCACTCCCAGTACACCTCTGCAGCGCTGGGATCTCTGGAGCTGGAATGTCCTTATTGTTTGGACATTTAATGGGGGAGACAGTACAGTAGGTCTAAGTGTGAGCTTGTGAGCTTCAGGATAGATTTTAAAGTTCTTTTATATGAGAAAACACAATGATGTTACGTTCGGGCGACAACCATTTTGGTAGGCAAAAAGCGTTGTATCAACAGTCAACATCAACATCAACATTGTCAACAGTTATCGCGTACAACATCCCCACTGTCAACAGTTATCAACGTACAACATCTGCAATCGTCATACAACAGTCCAGCATCAATGTCGTCAACAGATATCGGCGTACAGCATCAACAATTGTCATACAACAATACAACATCAACATCGTCAACAGTTATTGGCGTATAACATCAACTTCGTCAACATTTATCATAGAGTTTTAACTTTTCAAAGTATCGTTTTTTAATCTCAGCATTCAGTAACTAAGATGATGAAGTCATGTCCAAACAATTAAATGCAAAACCTACTATAAAATAAGACAAATTATCTCATACGCAACACAACTGTCAGCACAAACGAGTGGCCCCACTGACTTTTTGCCTATCAGCCACTGTGCACGTGCAGAAAAGCCAGATGTAAACAAAAACGTTTTCTCGTATTGTTTCATAAAGCTCTTAACGGCCTCCTATTTATTTATCTGATCTGCTTTTATCATATGAACCGTCTTGGACTCTCAGGTCCTCAGGTAGTCATCTTTTAACTCTTCCAAGAGTGCAAACTAAAACTCACGGTGAGGCGTCATTCAGTTTTTACGCCATCTACTTGAGAAAAATATTCACCCTGTTACACTAATATTGCACTGGTCTCTTCTCAGCCTGGTACTTGTATTAAGATTCTATTTAGAAATTCTCAGATATGGGTTTTTCGTGGCATGCTGGTACCAGTCATTTTGAATCCAGAGAACCTGCTGACCAATAAACCCTGCCAATATTTTTGTGCCAATTTGTAGAGCCAATTTTGGTAATTTTCCCCATAGAATATGATTTGAATTTAATGCAAACTCATTCACAACCTTGTTTTTCTCCAAAATGTACAAGAGAGCCGTGTAGTCACGTTTTGCAGTACCCTCTTTGGACTCAAGTGTTCAAATATAGCTTTATGCATATATTCTTTCTGCATATTTACGCAGCTGGGTGGACTAAAGAAAATATTGGCCTTTGCTGGAAAATGAAGGCAGGTAATTGATACCTTAAAAAGAACAAATAGCGTTCCATCTCTAATTCTTTCCCTAATTGGACAGCAAAATAAACAAATTCATTTTGACATTTGTAGATAAAGAATGGATGTTTTAAGTGTTTAGAATCTGCAAAACACTGTTACATGTGGTGATGTTTTCTAAGGAGGTTGTGGTGTTACTCATGTGTGGTCGAGTGGCTGTGAGTCACCAAAACAGCAGTGGTTTTTTATGGTTTGCAGTGTTTGGAGGCCTTAAATACATTGGAGCAAAAATGGAATGGTACCAAGCTTCAGAATGGAGTGTATTATTATGGCAATCCTGGGAATGTCTGGAAATGTTTTGGTTGTAACTGTTTGTATTTTGCAATGAAAGAAAAAAAATCACATTCCTTGAAAGATTACACTGCTTGCATGTCTTGTTTAGTTTTTTTCAAATCAGCTCTTTTTGCAAACTTTTTCATTAATGCAGACACTAAACTCAGTATTCTAATTTTGTATATCTCCAAAACTGTGACATTATAATTTTCTTTTTATGTTTCTGTATACTCACCTTACAACTATTATTTTGCAAAAATATAGCTGGCATGCTGCAGTGCACAGAGCCTATTAATCACTTTTTCTATACCTGATTAAAAGGGGCGTGATTGACAGGCTGATTAACCAATCAGAAGAAAGACTTTGGGGAGTATCCATGACAGAAATAAGCTTGAGTCTGACCAAAGCTAACTCAGGCCTGAAGTTTAAGCTGCGTTTTGTGCTCGCTCCCGGTGACACTGAGAAGACCAGAATCAACGGAGCAACGACATCACAGAAAATGAGCTGAAAGTGTGTTTTTTGTGATCTGACTAAACAAGAGAAGAGGATGAACAAGAGCTTGATTTGGGACATGGAACTTGTGCGTAAAAGTAAAACAATAACGGAGATCTTCACATGTAGCCTAACAAGAAAGGATCAAATCTGCGCTGACATGTTTGCAGTTTGACAGAGAGCGAGAGACCAGGGGCTGAGGAAAGAGAGATGATGAAGGAGTGAACAGACAGAACTCAATGAAAACCAGCTCAACCTCAGAGTCCAAACGGCATCTGTCTGTGCCCCTCACAACAACCACATGTGCAAGATAATTTGAATGAAATAATGGTCATAGGCTTTTATATGGTTTGTGCCTTTTTGAGTGCAGCATCCACAGACACGTGTGCGTAGCAGCGTACGACCGGTTTAAACTGCATCAATACAATACATAACACTTGTACAGCACTTTTCAAGATACTCAAAGACACTTTACATGGAGAGACAAGGCAGAAACAGGTGTTTTTGACTGAAATATTTCTTTAGATATTCTTGGAGACAAAGCTGTAATAATCTTAGCCTGGACCCGACTTGGTGTGTTTCTGAGTGCTTGTTACTGCGCAAACTCAGCACCATCTCTGGTTTGTCACTTTGGTGGAGCGGAACTGAGGATTTAACAAGCCTGGATTGGCCAAATAAGTGCGGCTTTCGTTGAACTTGCTTCATGGAATACCCCCATGGTCTGTTAGTGTAAAAACAAACATGGTGGCCTATACTCCTTGCTTGTTTACATGAAATGCTTGAGTAGAATCTACACTCCCAACATGGCCTTCAGTGCTGAATGTGAAGTTATTGAGGTTACCATGGTGATGCTCACTCTTATCTCCCCTGCGTGCCGTTAAGCATCTCTATTCATGTAAACACAGTTAGCTTTATCTAAAGAGTCGTTTGAATGTTTTGGTTCCCACAGGAAGGACTCAGCTCAGGTATGAAGAGGCTCTGTCTGTGTGGGATTAAACTGAGCTGGAGGGAGTGGCTTTAGATTCTAAAATCACAGTTTGTTTATGGTTAGATTAAGTGAAAACATCCACAGTATTGAAGGCAGTGACTCTTTTAACCTGTTGCTCCACCACCTGTTTTCTTTAGTTCTTTTAATGACCCTTGTGGGTGGAGAAATGTTGTATACAGTAAAATGTTTTTTTTTACTGTGTGTACTATGTAATTTTTCTGGTAAAGGGTCTGTCACAAGCTTGAGGTGGCATTGCTTTGCCTTGAATGTTCCACAGTATGGCATTAACCATGGTTACAAGCATGTGACCATACCAGGCTTAGATACAGGTCAGATCTGTAGAGAGGCGTGCCTGCTAACATTCATCTTTTTCACAGTATTTTTGAGGGATTAAAACACCTGTAGTCGAACGATGCAGGATGGATAAGTTTAATGTCATACTGTGGAACATCCCAAGCAAAGAAATGACATCTCCATGGAAACAAACAGGAAGCAGACCCTACATCAGAAACGTTACATCTTTAAAATAGCCTCCCTATAACAAGCTATAAGGAGGTCCTCGAGAACACTCTACTCTCTGTTTCCCATAATAACTCTTTCAAAGTATTACAAATTGGTGTCTATACTTAGTTTTGACATGTCTTTTTTTCTTTTTCCCTGCAGCTAAATACAGAGAAGAATTCAAGCTCATAATCGACCGAATCGCAGTGGTCAAGTCAGAGAATGTGAGTAAACTATTTCAGCTCTTTACCTTATATGGACAGTTTGGGACAAGTTCAGTACTCCCTCATTAATGAAACACTTTGTTAAAAATGTTTGACTTTTTAAGGTCCTATTATATTACTCATGATAGAATGTAGTTACCTAATCAAAAACAGACCTGGAGTTGCGTTTTGTTTCATTCACACATGTTTGAGTAACCCTTTATTAGTCTACATCTCCAGAGCTCAAAATGCTGTGATCCACCTTGTGATGTCATGAAGCAGTAATTTTCAAGTTAAGAGCTCCTTTTTCTTTTAGTTCAGCAGAGATGGGCAATTCCAGAGCAAACAACAGTATTATAATATATCAGAAAATAGTGAAATTTCAGCCCTTTAAGGGTTTAAGAGATAGCATTTTCAAATTTGAATTGAATAAAAACTCAAGGTTTACTCCCAAGAATCAGCAGCTGCAGTTTTCAGTTCCTCTTCTATCATTCTTACTCATACTGTAACCCCAACCGTCATCATGAAAATTAGTAATTGAGGACTTTTTTTCATGACGTGGAAATTTACTTGTGGTGGTTTTCATATACTGGGCAGTACCAAAACCAAAAGTACTCACTACCATTGTTATATTCATTTTATATTATTGATACAATCATCAAGACTTTTCTATTGGGGGATCTACCACCTGCTTGTCTCCATGAAGATATTATTGCTTTGCTGGAAAGTTCCACAGTATGGCTTTAAACGCTCATGTTTTGTATTTATTTAAGGTGATTTACAGGTGTTTTTATTGCTCAAAAGATACATTGAAAAACATGTTCACTGAGAGTGAGTTTGCTTCTCCACAGATCTGACATGTAACTTCTGTCTGCTTAATGCCATTCTGAGTAGAGTTTAGAGCTTGGGCAAGAATCAAAACTCTTGAACACCCAGGCAAAGTGATAACATCTCCATGGAGACAAGCATGTGTTGCTTCCTCTACCAGAAAAGTTGCGTTCACCTTTAGTGTACTCCTATACTGGAGTGCTCATCCTCTGATCTAAAGGTTGGCAAATACGAATCTTGCTGTTGACATTTATAATAATATATAATAATAATATATAATTCATAGAAAGGTCAGATCCACTGACCCACAGACACTGTTATTGTGTCCTTGGGCAAGACTTAACCCACCTGTCTGCGTATATTTGGGTGAGTGGTTCCTTGATGTAAAGCGGGTTGAGTGCCTTTGAAGATAGAAAAGCCTTATAGTGAGTTTAATGGGCCGCACTAGTTTAGTTGGTAAGAGCATTTGTCAGCATTTTTGTCAGTTTGAATCCAACTCTCAACCTAAAACATCATTGATTGAGTGGTCTGATCCACTGACTCACAGATTGATGGTGCAATTTCAGCTCCCACAGATGATGTTGTCCTTGGGTAAGACTAGTGTCTGTGTACACTGATGTGTGTGTGTCAATTTCTTATTTCTTATTTACATATTAATGTAACTAAAATGTAAATATGTAAAGATTATAGCCAGTGTGGATCATTTCCATCTTCGGTCCCTCGGCCTCAGGTTGATGTCAAATCATCTACAAGACAGGGAAAAGTAGAGCAACAATCACACAAAAGTACATAACACCAGCACACTCACTATACATACAATTAATTTCACACAGTTCATTTGAAGTTCGAAATCAAAAGTTAAAGAGTTAAACCAACAACCCCTTAGTATAAAAAAATGTATAATTTTGTTAAACATGGTGCCATATTTAACCATTGAACAACCACTGTTTTAAAGCTTTAGAAAATTCTGCCGGAGTTGAAAGCTCTTGTATCTGAGCTGCACTGTCTTCATGTCTGACCTGGTTGATAAGCAAAGGAGAGCTGTCCAAAAGCACTTTTCCTAAATGGCACAGAGCAGTCACCTCTAGAGCTGCTCTTGTGCGTTGTGAATAAATAAGTGAGTGGTTCCTTGTTGTAAAGCGCTTTGAATGCCTTGAAGGTGGAAAAGCGCAGTATAAAAATGTTACCATTTACCAATGTGTTATACCGTGTGAAGTTAGGATGCTTTTATATTATAGTTTGTTTACACTTTGTTTTGTTTGTCTCCTCTATGCAGGGTGAGAAGTACCTGGTGCTAAAGAAGAAGTACAGACAGCAGCTGCAGGAGCGAGACTCCAGAGCTCAGGGAGGAGAGGAGAGTCCAGCCCAGAACTCTGACTCTGCTCCAGCCTCCACCAGTGACTCTACCCCGGTCCATACGGTTCAATGGGACTCCACCCAAACCTTACCCACCAAGACAGAGCAGAGCAGCACCCACGAGGAGCAAATGGAGTGTGTGGAGGCAGAGGGTGCAGCTGCAGAGAGCAAAGAGGAACAATTACAAGAGGTACAACTAGAAATGTGTTTGCAAAATATAATCTCCACTTTTGCGGTTTCATTTCTCAAAAGGTCAGCTCTAGGGCTTTGCAAAAATATTGAAATATCCATATATGGAATTGTTTAATGTGATGAAACTGTATTGATATCGGGGATTGCTGTATCGATATATCACCAAGAGTATTTTTTGGTATATTTTACTAAATTATTTTGTTAAAGCACTACAGTTTCGGTGCTTGTTTAGTGGAAGGGAACTCGTTTATGCGTGTGTGTTTCATATGAACTTTGCTCAAGAGTGGTTTAACAAAGACTTTTAGCATCACAGCAGTGATCTAGCCTTTATTTTTTATTCAACCGTATTGAATAAAACACAAATCCAGGTATGTTTTTGAGAAGATAACAACATTCTGAAGACTTAAAGCTCACAAGAATCCATTTTGCATAATATAGGGCTTTTAATTGCTAGCAGTTACTTTGTTACTGTAGATGTTTTAGTTTTCTTATCATGATTATTTTTGGTCAATATTAAAATCACAATTAAATTTTTTAGTTACATGATGTGTTTATTCAGCATTTCTCTTTAAAAACCCACTTTGTTACTGATAATTTTCGCAAAACCTGAAAATAAATATAGGCTACAAATATGAACCTTAGAGCAGTTTTGTGATGTATAAAACATAAAATGAATCAAATATACTTTGAACATAAAATAAGGTATAGAAAAACATAAATATCCAGTAGGTAGGAAGTATCCAAAATAAACTATATATCTAGCTGTTCTACAATCTCTATATTTAAAAAAATTAATAAATATACTCATTTCTATAAAAAATATCCCAAAATAAACTATATTATGTTCCAACTCAATTATATTACTTTGGAGATTGTTTGACACACAAATTGAAATTGCAATAAAAATTTGATTAATTGCACAGCCTTAATTTTCGTGATGTGTTTTTAGCTTTATAAGCTGAAACTATATTTTGTTTTGTGAGTTCAGCTATCACCAGTTTACTAAAGCCCCATTTTGTTCACTGTTTAAATGCAGCGTTTATTGAACACAGTCGTCTTTGTGGCTGTTGTGGCTTCAGTCTGTGTCAGAATTCAGTGACCTCTCTGTGGTTCTTCACACTGATAGAGAATCACTGTTAAACTGACAAACCAACTGCGACATGTAAAGAAAGACTGCTGTTTATGAAGCTAAGTTAAGAAACCTGATGTGCTTTTTGTACAGTTTGTCAAGGGAAAATAAATAGTAAGATAAGACAATTACCCCTTTTTGGTAATGACTTTCTTGTGGAGTTTTAATGCACCATATTTGGCCTGTACCCGTTTTGACTCAGATATTTTATAAGCAGCTCTTGTGTGCTCTGTTCTATTTATGTGTTTAGTGTTTTATTGTCCAATAATCAGGAATTGTATGCTTAGCCTGCTAGTCATTGTTAGCCTTACTGTGGCAAAACTCTACTCTGGTATCTGGAAGCTGTGAAAAGTTCTTGTAAACTCATCGTGGTGAATAATTGGATAAGTGAGGAATAACTTTGGAGTAGTTTAATCTGTTAAAAATGAACTAACTGTGTTTTTCATGTTTTTAAGACAGACGCAATATTTGTAAAGGTCGTATAGAGAATTTTCCAAGGAAGGAGAAATACAGCGACTCTTTGTCCTTTTTCAAATGTTGCACATGCATGACACCTCCCCTCCTCCACAGGACAGTAGAAACGCCTCCTCCCACCTCCACCTACGCTAGAAATCATGTTTGTTTATAGCCGGTGTGTGTTCAGAACAAGTTGCTGTTGAAGATACCTCTCCAGAAGTAATTTAGCGATCAACGCATCAGTCTTTAGACCCTTTGTCTGCTTCAGTGCACTAGAACCCTGCACTCCCGTGGGACCTGACGCAAAACAGTGTAGTGCGGCACACATTTTGAAAGCTCATTACAGTCCCGCAAACTAAATATGAGTGTAAAGTAAAATATACAAATGACTAATGTATGCCTATCATACAGCATTTGTGCTGGATATTTTATTTGGCATTAATAAAAACATTTTAAGTAACCTAAACTTGAGGATGTGGTCTAATCTCACACACATTTTAGACAATTAATTTCTGCTTCACCGTGTTTGATAAAGCTGAAGAAAGTGAACGCCCCCATCTTGTGTTATTTGCGGGCAGGAGGGGGACGAAATATTGCAGATGCGGGTGGGAGCGGGAATGAAAATTTAAATTTTTTGCAAGTGCGGGCGGGGGCGGGACTGAACAATACAAGTGTGGGCGGGGGCGGGACTGAACAATACAAGTGCGGGCGGGAGCGGGACTGAACAATACAAGTGTGGGTGGGAGCGGGATTGAAAATTCTGTCCAGGTCAGACCTCTAAAAGGAATCACCTTAGTTTGGCTTTGCTCCTTTTCCTCTTCTCTTCTTCTTTCAGTAACCTCAAAAATGGACTTTCTTTTGCTGCTAACTGGTGGTAGATTCTTGTCTGCCATTGCAACAAACTTTGTGTTAACTGTGAGGACGCTACAGTTCAAAATAGCAGCTAAGAACCACTGCGTTGGGTGACTAAACAGCATCTTGTGTATGTGTAATGTGTAGGAGGCGTACATAAACCACGTAATCCCAGAGCGTCGGCCACTCAGTTCCACGAGAAACGTAGGGAGCTTGATTGACAACCTAACAGCCAATAGATAACAAGGTAGCCTCGTTTTCTATTGGCTAATGTTTGGCTGCCCCACCACGTCTACAGTTGATGGATTTTCATTCTTTTTTTTTTTTTTTTTTTTTTTTTTAGCTAACTTTAATTGACAATTTCAAACAAAAAAAATCCTCCATACATCCATTAAATTATCCAGTTTTCATTCTTGTTTGGTAACATGTAAGCCTTTTTGCGTTTAAGGTCATGGATTACTTATGTTTTTACATTGAGGCCGCTGCACTTAAACCTGAGGAGACTATTACCACACACTGTTAAATGCACAGTAATCCTCTGGAAGTACTCATACATATTGTTCATGCAGTAAACTTAAGCAGAGTACATACGGGAGATTATAGTGTCCTCTTTGCCTATAGGACATCGTGTGCATCGTGTGCTCGGTCTGCGGTTGTGTGCTAGTGCGAGACTATTGCGAATTCTGCACACACAAGTTAACACAAAATACTGCAGTCAAATGGAACAGAATACAACACCCTGATATGAAAAAATACAATGTTTGAAGCTGGTACCTGACTTTATTCTTTTAAATTAGTACATGTTGTGCTTTCCCCCAACAAAATATTATTGGCTGTTTTAAGATTCTAGATAAAATATGTTGTTATACTCCCAGATAGGGGTCAAAACCAGATTTCGCTATTGATTACTAGGAATGGGATAAGATCTCGTGCCACAATATCTCATGAGACAAAATTGCCACAAGATCGAAAATTCTTGTGAGATTTTTTTCCTTACTTTTTTACATTTGTCTCGGATTTAAAAAAAAGGTTAACTTTGCTGAGTAACTTCTCTTGAGAAGCTGTGATACCAAAAAAACACTGCTACAATGATAAAACTGTAAAATTAAATAAAGCAAAAGTTGTGAAGAAGAAATTATGAACTGGCCTAGACACATCAAAATCTCATCTCGTCTCAGTCTCGTGGATTGAATCTCAACATGTCTTGTCTCATAGAAATTGTGTCCTGCCCCATCCCTTCTATTGTACTTGTCATGAAATACATATCCAAATGGTATCATGTACAAATTATGAACCTTACTGTTTCTATTAGTGACTATTACACCTTAGAGCTCACTGTTTTTACATCAAAAGTCTGCATTTTAATTCCAGTGTATGTGTGTTAGCAAATGAACACAGAAACCTGCATTTTAACTACATTTTATAAAATATTTGAACTATATTCACTAGGGTTGTAACAATATCCAAGTGTCACGATACAATATTGTCACGTATGAACCTCATGGTACGATATTTATTGCAATATCGTGGGAAAGCTCACGATATGGTGGGGAGGCTCACGATTAGGGATGTAACAATATCCAAATCTCTCGGTATGACATTTTCATGATATTCATCTCACGGTACGATATTTATTGCGATATTTTGTGGAGGCTAAACAACTAAAATAGTTAATATGCTACTTTTTCCTCTTAAAATGCTTTGATAAGACTTAATCCAAAGAACTAAGACTTGAAAGTGCTTTGAACTGTTAGTTCTTCTTGTAGTCTGCACTGAAATGTAGCAAAGGATCATGATCTATGTAGTTCCCTGTCTATTTTTAGCTACTGCTGCACCATAACTCTTGATTTAAGCAAAGAGACTTGTAATTCGATATGTTGTGATGGTCCACGATATTATTGTGAGAACTTTGATGATACGATATCACGATATTTCCGTTATTGTTACATCCCTAATATTCGGGCAATGTAATGTGCACTGTGTATTTTTTCTGGTGGATGGTCCATGAAATATTTGTCTCCATGGAGATGTTATTGCTTTGTCTGGAATGTTTCACAGTATGGTTAAACCTGTTCCCCGCTCTCAGTCAGAATGTCTGTTTTATTTTTATTTTTTTAGGTATTTTTGAGCTATAAAGCCACCTTTAATTGAATAAATGTAAGGTAGGACTGTTTAATGTCACATTGTGGAACATTCCAGGCAGAGCAATGACATATCCATAGAAACAAGCAGGTGACGAACCCCCAACCAAAAAGTTACTTAGTGCACCTTTAGGTATTTGCTGATACCCAATATAAACCAATAGTGGTGCAGAGACTGACAGGCAACTAGAATAAGTCTTAAAACAGCATCCTTACCTGCAGAGGGCGCTAAGCAATTTATAAATCAATAGGCGGTGTGTCTGCACTGGTCTGTTAATGATTATACTGTATTAGTAGTAGTAGTACTTTATTCGGTTAATGATTATACTGTATTAGTAGTAGTAGTACTTTATTCGGTTAATGATTATACTGTATTAGTAGTAGTAGTACTTTATTCGGTCATTTTGCAGCACTACAAAA